CAGCCGGAGGGGCGTGGCGGCGCCGGGGCGCGTGGCGGCGGCGGCGCAAACTCGCTGCAGTACGCGCTGCGCGCCCTCGCCGCAGGGCACGCGGCCCGAATCGCGGCAGGGCAGGACTCGCCTCCGCCCCCCGCAGTCGCACCGGCGCCGCCGGGGGCGGCGGCTTGGAGCGCACGGCAGCAGCAAGAGACGGAGGCGGCGCAGGCGGCGGAGGCGACGCGGGCGACCGAGGTGGCGGAGACGGATGAGACGGCGAACGAAGCGGCGCGCGAGCGGGAGCGTCTGCGACGCGCGGAGGCGGTGAGGGTGGCGGCTATGACGCGCCAGGCCGCTGCGGCGCGCGAGGCCGCTGCGGCGCGCGAGGCCGCATCGCAGCGGGAGGTGGCAGCCGTCCGCGCGGAAGCCGCCTCGCGAGCGGCATCTCTCGCCCGAGAGGCGGAGGCGGCGGCGGCCTCAGCGGCGCGCGCAGCCGCGGCGGCGCGCGAGGCGGAGGCGCGCGAGGCGCAAGCGGCGAAGGAGGCGGCCGAGGCGGCGGACGCCATGGCCCAGGCGGCGCCGACGGATGGTCCAGGGCGGCTCGAGCGAGATCAGCCTTCTCTGAACCTTCCCGGAACCTCCCCACAGGCCAAGGCGATGCGGCTCGAGCGCGAAGCCACCGCGCACGCGCCGCCGACGGCGCCCGTCTTGTCTGCGGCGCCGGTCCGCGCGGTCGCCGGCGAGTCGTTGCCGGCGAAGGTGCATCGGGTCTGCGCTGCGCTCGAGCTGCCCGGCGACGGCGGGCTCGTTCGCCTCGTCCGGGAGGCCAACGCAGCTTTGGGCATCGAGCCGACGGGCAACCTCGTACAGCAAACGGACCGGCTGTTGATAGCACTCTTTGGCTGACACGCATGGGCGCTCGATGCGTGGTGCGCAAGCGAGCGCACGAGGGAGCGAGTGGCCGTCCCAGGGTGAGATGAACTTCGCCACATACACAACGGTGCTGCTGCTGGAGGTAGGGCAAGGGCGGGCAACCTTCGCGGCCATACACAGTACTCCGTCCTCCTGCGATGCGGTGTGCAGTGGCAGAATGGTCGTGCTCGTGCGGGTTCGTCTCGAGAGAATGTGTTTTTTGTGACACAATATGTGAGGACACAACTTGCCCGGGAGAAGGGTTACTTGTAGCACACACTGAGCCGGCGGGAGGCTGGCCTCAGACCGTCAGAGCGGTTGTGAGCGACGTGGAACTGTCAAGCTCCCTTCTCCGCCAGCCGTGCGAGTTCCTCGGCGATGGCGGCAAGGGCGGTGTCGATCTCCGACTCCGCGTTGATGTAGCTCGGGCTGATGCGCACGACGGAGGGGCGTGCGCGGGCGGCAGGCTCGAAGTGGTGGGTCGATGGCGACACCGAGACGCTGATGCCTCGCGCCTCGAGCGCGGAGTGGAGGTCGGCCGATCGGACACCGAGGGTGGACTCTGCCTCGAAGGTGACGATGGCGCACCGCGCCGCGCCCAAGCTGCGAGCCACCTCCTCGTCGAAGCTCGGCGGCGCGTCGCGGATCACACACCCGGGGATGGCCGCCAGGCCGGACCTCAGCCGCGCCGCCAGCCGCGTCGCGTGGGCAAAGTTGCGCGCTGGGCCGGTGGCGCGGCACACGACGGCTGCTGCTTCGAGCCCGTGGCGAGCGGCCTCGTCCGCTTCCCACATCTCGAAACGTTTGGCATCGGGCAGCAGCGTGTAGCTGTCCGGCGTGGACCAGACGGCGCCCGAGTGGTCGATGAGCGGCGGCTCGCCAAACAGACTCGTCGAGCCGGATCGCGTCGCCTCGTCGAGCGCCCGACGCCGCACGTACAGGAAGCCGGTGCCGCGCGGCGCACGGAGCCACTTGCGACCGGTCCCGCACGCAAAGTCACAGCCGAGCGCGCGCACGTCGACCGGCAGCTGGCCGACCGACTGGCATGTGTCGAGCAGGAACACGGCGCCGTACCTCTCGCACAGCGCCCCGACGGCCGCTGCCGGCTGGACGATCGACTCGCTCGTCTGAATGTGCGTGAGCGCCACCAGCGTCCTCCCCGGCCTCTCGGCTCGCTCACTCGTCGTCGTCCGCTGCAGGGCTGCCTCGAGCGCGGGTACGTCAGCGATCCCGTCGGTGCGCATCGGCAGCACCTCGATGCGAGCGCCCGTTCGCCTGGCCATCTGCAAGTAGGCCACCGCGTTGCCCGCGTACTCGGAGGCAAAGCACAGGATACGGTCGGCGGAGGAGGTGAAGTTGAGAGAGTAGAAAGCGCGCGCCCATGCTGCCTGAGCCGAGTCGAGCAGCGCGACCTCCTCCACGTCGCAGCGCAGCAGCGTTGCGAGCGCCTCCCGGGCAGCGTGCGGACGCTTCTTCTGCGCTGTGTACGCTCCGACCTCGACCTCGTACTCGAGATAGCCAACCATCGCGTCGCGCGCCTCCGTCGGCATCGGCGACGCGCCCGCAGCGTTCAGGTGGAGGACGGTGTTAGGAGTGGAGTCGCCTTTGCACTCCGACGCCGTCGCTCGCGCCGGCCGGGTGGCGAGGAGACGGCGGCCGCAGAACCGCGGCCCACACAGCCGGGCTAGGACGCCAGGTGCGAGTACCGAGATGGCGACGCCAGCGATGCCGGCGACGACCGCGGTGCGCCTGTGCATTGCAACCGGCAACAAGAATTCGCCCGTTGCTCTACTCCCTTAATGTAGGTAAACCATAATTTTGCCTGTACGAAGGTTTCCTCTCCCACCCTACCTGGTTTCCTTTCCGTGTTTCCTGCTCGTTTCCCTACAACACCCTCTAGTTTCCTCGGGAAACCCCGGGGAAACTCCGTGGAATTCGTCATTTTGCTGCTGTCTCCTGAATGCGGCGTGAAATTCGTTCTCCTTGAACGATATCGGTGTCGAAACACCTCTGACAGCGCTCACAGCTGCGCTCTTACGGTGGTACGACATGGTCGATCCGACCCTTGACGATCAGCTTCCCACGCTCTGCACGCTCGGCGAGGACGCGCTGCTGCTCGTCCTCGAGATGTGCGATTCGGTCACGCTCTGCGCCCTTGCGCGCTCGACGTCGCTCTTCACCCGGCCGGCGCCGGGCGAGGGCCTCTCCCTGCCCGAGCGAGCGGCCTGGGAGACGATGCGGCGGCACTTCGCGTCGGGAGCCGCGAGGCCGTACGAAAAGGGCGCAGCCGAGCAGCACCGGCAGGTGCTCTCTCTGCACGAGCGCGGGATGCTCCGGCCCGGCGTGCTGCATGACGTTCCGCTTCACGCGGTGGAGGGCGCGGGCTCCGGCTGGGAGGTGGCATATCAAGCCCCGTACCAGCACCGGACCTCCGACGCCGATCTTGACGAGGCGGTGCCGCGCGACGCGCGATATGTGCTGCTCGGTGCGTTGTCGATGACCGGCGCGCGCTCGACGGACCGCTATGAGCGCGGCCAGGCGGTGGGGGTGCCGCTTCCCGACCGCGAGACGCTCGAGGACGGCAGCGCACTCGCCTTCTCGCTGCTCGCGTGGGGCCGGCGAGACACGGTGCTCAAGGCGACGCACGGCGAGAAGGAGTTCGAGGGCGGCGCGACGAGGAGCGACAACCTCGAGGCCGGCGTGCACTTTTACCGCTGGTGGGAGCGACGCCGCTCCCTGCCAAGCCCCGCCGCGCGCACACCACCTCACTGCACATGCGCGCGCTGCAGATGCAGATGCAGATGCACATGCTCTCAGGCCGGCCCACGCCATCGGCTTCAGCTCCGACCCGGACCTCTTCTTGTACTACGCCGACTCGGCGATCAAGCGCGGCATGCGGGAGGCGCGCGCGCGTGATCGCCTATATCTCGGCTGTATCTCGGCTATATCTCGGCGGCATGCGGGAGGCGCGCGCGCGTGCCGCCGCCGCGTGCATCGGCATCTCGGCTTGAGGAGTGCGCGGCCTGGCCCGACCGTTGCCGCGGCGTGCAGGCGGCTCCCGGCGACCGCCTCAGCTGGAACCTCGAGACACAGTCGACGGGCGGCTGGCGCGCGGGCCTCGCGTACGACCTCGGCGACTCGACGGAGTGGTACAAGTGCTGCTACTACCGGATGTGAGGCACCCCAAAAGCAAGCCGTTAGGACACTGCTCTGTGTTCGCTCGCTTTTTGTGCGCGGCCCCCTCGTCTAGTGCCATCTCAGGCTACACCGGTGCTAGCTGCTTGTCGCGAATTACTACTGTTTCGTCACTCTCGCCATGCAAAGCGTGTTACCTTGTAATATTCGTTACCTTAAAATATCGACGGAAAATGTTTTGCCGCGTACGCGGCACGCGGATAACACAAAAAAATCGTCCTGTGCGTCGCGGGTAGAGCGCGGTTTGCCCGTATGGATGTGTGACGATTTGCTGGCGTGCCGGCTCTACGCGCCCTGATTTAACGCGTTCGTGCGACTGCGACGCGTACGTGCGTAGTGTACGTGCGACGGGGAGATGACTGCTCTTCCCCGCAGTTTATCGCTAGTCCATCGCACTTTCTGGTTCAGCCGCAGAGCCGCTAGTGGGACCCCCCCCCCCTCGTGGAGCGCGACACCGCCGGCGCTGCGCCTGCTTCCCTGAGCGGCTTCTGTGGCGAGGCGTGGAGGCAAAAGAAGAAATGAGGGCATACGCTGGACAAAGTTCGAAAAAGATTTTTACGGAAAAAAGAAAGCAAGCGAAAAAAGAAGGATGACAATCCTGAGACGCTCTCACTCGGCGGCTACCTTCCGCGCAACAACTCGATTTTCAGCGAATGCCCAAGTGCCCCGTAGGACCGGACCTGGGAGTCGCCATCTGCCTCGTCGGCTTTGTTAGAACGCTCCCGCGGCCGGAGGTGTATACGTCCATATCTAATTTCTTCCGCAACCAGTCCAAACAGGCCGACTTTTTCGGCGTTGTCAGCAGCAGCGGCGACGACACCGCCAAGGGGCAGTGGAAGGAGGTGTCTCATTTTGAGCTCGAGCCAGCAATGCGCATGCTGAGGCCGGTGGCGTGGGAGGACACGCCCGATCGGCGCGGCCCGCGATGCGGCCTGTTGTGCATGCGGCAGTACGATCGGCTAGACCGATGCAGAGAGCTGATCAGCGCCCGTGAGGCAGAGTGCGGCGGCCGCTACGCGTGGGTCGTCAAGGCGAGGCCGGATGCGCGCATGCGCAGCCGCGGCGGCCGCTCGATTGCAGCGGACGGGCTGCGCAACGGCGACACCATCTACAAGGACCGACGTGCGGGTGACTTAGTGACGTACATCCCGCGGAAGCACTGGGAGGCATCCTCCCACTACGGGTGGTCGTCCCCTCACGACTCTCTCTCGTTTTACAGGCTCTTTTTTGAACAGGCCCTCTCCCGCACGCTAAGCAGCACACCGTGCGAGCGGGTACGTTCGGTCGGCATCGACTGCTCGCACAGCGCGGCCGCAACAGGCGGGGGCGGCTGCAAGTGCAACCTTTGGCTCACGATGGCCGTGACCGGGCTGCTCAAGCTGCGGGCCGCCTACCATCCCTTTGGCGTTGAGCTGGTACGCACCGCGGAGTCGCGAGCCGTGATTGGGGAGTCGCGGCGCAAATTTGGCGGTGACGGCATGCGAGGGTTGCACAACAGGTGCAACCCCCCTCCCCCCCCCACCCACCCTCCACCCCCCACCCTCTTTGCTCTCCCCCTCACCCCGCGTGAATGACCGGCCCCAAATCTCGCTCCACTCACAGGAGCACGTCGGCGACCGATCTGCAACATCTCATAAAAGTGGGAGATCGATTACCAGGGTGAGTGCAGCTCTCCGACGTCGCTTGCAGCTTGGGCTGCTTGGCCAGTCGCAGAGACACAGAAGAGGCCACTAATCTGGATTGGTGTTGGGAGGGTTTGTGCCACAGCAAACCGCAGCGTCCTCCCAACACGAAAGCGTATCCTGGCCCCGTCTGATGAGGTGAACAGTTGGCTGTTGCGCGTAACGCTCGCAACGGCCAACGCGCGGGGACCTGTTCCTTTTTACCCATCTCACAGTAGAGGTGTCCGTTTTTATTTATTTGTTTATATAACGCTCGCAAGGTAAACTTCTCCACACACACAAGGTGGTGGGGGAAGGCGGTTCGTCCTTCGCAACTCTCCACGTCTAGACGACAGGAGCCAGCTCAACGACGCGCCGGGCTCGCCGGCAGCCGATCCACAAGGAGAGGTCATGCGCGCCAGTCTTCTGAACCAGCATATGACACAGAGCCGCAGAGAGAGAGAGAGAGAGAGAGAGAGAGAGAGAGAGAGAGAGAGAGAGAGAGAGAGAGAGAGAGAGAGAGAGAGAGAGAGAGAGAGAGAGAGAGTAACGCCACACAAAATGGAACTTCGCCCTATATTCACCGCTCTTCATTCGGAAAAATGTATAAACCAACTCGATCGCCCATCAGATCCGCCCTTACTCAGCGCGAGCGCCAACATGCAGGCCTCTGGTGAGTCCTCGGCCTCGACCGCACCTACATCCTCCCACCCGCCAGAAGACATCATAAGGGAGTATGACACACGGGTGGTGACTTCACTCAAGGCACTGCAGCAGACGGCGGCATCAATAATCAAAGCACGGGAAGGGAAGAGGAAGGGACTCGAGGCGGAGAGGAAGGAACGAGTGGCCGCGGAAACAGAACGCCTGAAAGAGGGACAGAAGGAAAGAAAGGAGAGGATACGAGAAATGGAGTGGGCGGCGAATGCGTGTATTTGCTGGCGACGGAGGCGACATCGACAACGTGAGGCCGAGGAGAAGGAAAGGGAGGAGGCAGAGAGACGCCTCGAAGCGGGGAGAGGCAGAACGACAAGAGCGATGGGGATGACACTCAAAACGACCCACTGCGAGCTCGAAGGCGAAGGCCGGCGCAGGAAACGCGGTGACAGGCAGTAGAGAGCACTCCACCGATACCGTTTTTATGGCGGACTGACTGTGCCCCAGCACCAACCAGGGACCCCACATCCCTGCCCCGTTACGCCCTGGGGCACCCGCAGGCGGGGCGCAGAAGGGCGCCGTCGTCTCCTCCTCCTCGCGACGCGCCAGGCAGGGACCCACCCAGCCCCGTTACATATTCCATGCGCCTGGTGCATAAGAGACATTTCACAGCCTTGTTATTGAGAAGAAAATACGTCCTATGGCGCTGTGCGCTGGTCTGTGAGAGGTTAGGTTAGGTGCGAGCCCTGGAGGCCCTGGGAATGGGGGTTCACAGTCGGTGGGCGTTACGGAGCGCTGGTCCGCACTTGGAGCACTTGGAGTCAAACTTAGCACGGGGCTCAATTCATTTTCGGCCAGATCAGCGGATATGCGAATGTCGGTGTGATCTCAAAGGCGATTAGAGAGTGCCTCAAGGCTAACAAGCCTTTCGTCCCTCGGCGGAGCGCGAGAGCCGGGGGGGTGTGGCTGCTGCAGCAGGGGGAGAGGGAGGGGTCCGTGCCCGCACCCGTGCCGTCAGCAGCGTGTCTGGAGGAGCACCGTGCGGCTGGGCTGAGGAGAATTCAGGATCTCCGCACCGCGTAACGTAGGTAGGTAGAGCTCTAGGGGGAGGGTGGTTGGTTGATTGTGCGTACTTGTTACGTGAAACCCCAAGAACCGTGTGGCAGTAACTCAGATTTTAAAGAATTCCAGGTCGGCCGCACTCTAGAGCTCTACGATTTCACACGCACGAAGCACGAAAGATAAGGCGCGGGCGGCAGAAGCACTATGTCAAAGAGCGGCCGCACTCTGCTCGCTACCCCCCCTGCACAACTAAGCTCATGGCCGACCCCCCCCCCCAGCAGCAGGAGCGCTCTGCCTGTGGGGGGTGCTGGCATCTCTGTACAGACAGCAGCTGTAAGTAGCATGCGTTCCAGTGGCGAGAATTTGTAGTCGGCATCAAAATCAGTGGTCTCACCGGCGGGCCCTCCTACTGCCAACCGGGAGGTGCGGGGCACGCCAGCCTCTCTTCTACGCCTCTCGTGCCTCGCGGCTCCTCTGCTTCAAGGAGGGAAGATACGGCTCTCGCAGCCCATCGTACGCCGTGGCACAGCGGGGAGCACAGCGGGCTGTACAAGATATTGTTCCCTATCTTCGCATGCTCGTCGTTGGTGATATCCGCGCGAGGTCATACGCCACAGGCCAGCAATCACTCGGTGATGAGACTATTGATGTAGGCGCGACGCTCTGACACCGAGTGTTGTGTGGTAGTACAAGATAGACTCACCATGGTCACAAGTCTTTAGTAAAACGCCAGCACTCGACACGACGAAGGTGTATTGGGCTCGAAGGCGCGGCGAACACAACCGCCTCGAGCGTACGAGTACCGCTTAAACACGAACCGAGGGCGGAGAGGGGGGGGCGGCGGCGAGGAGGCGGGAGAGCTGGGTCCAGTGCGCTCTGCTGCTGGGGGGGTCGGGACCCCCCCCCCAGCAGGAGCGCTCTGCTGCTGGGGGGGTCGGGACCCCCCCCCAGCAGGAGCGCTCTGCTGCTGGGGGGGTCAGACCCCCCCCCCCTAGCAGCAGGGATGAGCTTAGTTGTGCAGGGGGGGTAGCGAGCAGAGTGCGGCCGCTCAAAACCCCACTGAGAAATTATAAATTTCTCTAGAGCTGGTGCCGCCACTAGATGAAATGCTCCACTGGGCCCCCGGAACACGCCTGCGCGGCGGCTGAGGAAGCTCTTCACTGGGTGGAAGGAGGCTCGGCCGGCCTTGAGGGAGTCGCGGAGGAGGAGGGATAACGGAGGTAACGTGCAGACAGGCCAGCAGCCAGTGGGACGAACGAGGGCCGCGACGGCGGCTCTCAAGCGGGAGGGAGCGGAGACGGTGGGCAGCGAGCGAAGTGGGTGAGACTGATGATGCTCCTTCGACTTAGGGAGCGGTTCAGCTGCTGGGCGGGCTTCAGGCTGGTGCTCACGCGAAAAGGAATCGACGCGATGTACAAAGCATAGAAGAAGAGGAGAAAGAAGAGGACGGACATCAGTGATGACGAAACAGAAGCTAGCGCAGACGAGGGCAGGGCAGACCCGGGGACGGCGGAGTCGGAGCAGACGGCATCGGCCGCCGAGGAAACGTTGGGAAGAGGCACGAGGAGGGCGGCGACCTCGACCGACTACGGAGGACCCGTCACCAGACGACGCAGGGCAGACGACGGGGAGGCGGAGCAGACGCGCAGGGCGAGACGAGGGAGGGAGCAGGATGTTGCTGAGATCAGCAGGAGGATGTACGACGAGATTAGGAGCAGCAGGGACCCGAGGGACCATGTGGAAGACGGCTAGTGCTAGTCCCCATCGGGAGGACGACCCCG